TGTCTTGTTAAATAGTTGCTGTGCTTCACCCCAGAGGCAGCTGCACTTAACAGTGGATGAAATGATTCCCTGTGTATGGCTTTTACTTTACGTAAAGTTTAGGGTGGGTTTTTGGATGAGCCTAAGGATGCTCAATTCCCATTGAATTCCAGTGAGTTGGATGCCAGACTCCTTTAAGTGCCATTGAAAATCCCAGACTTTGGGGACTGCTTTCTCTACAATAGAAGCTGCTCTAATTCTAAGGTTATTAGAAAAGTGAATAGAAATGAATAAACTTGCCACTGTAATTTTTACAAGGGATTTTGAAGTGTTTTAATTTTGCTGAATTAGTCTTTGCAGACTTGTGAGGTAAGAAGCATTGTACCTATTTTAAAGATGGGTAAATGGAGGTACAAAATCATTCTCCCAAGCCTGTGGTAGAGCTGCAAGACTATCTCTCTTGTGCCCTAACTACACTTACTTGGAGGCAAGGTCTGTGGGTGAAAAGAACTCGGATCTCTATTAAATGTGCTCAGTTGTCATTTACTAGTAGGATTTACTATTTATATATTTATTGTAGGTGACAATTCAGGTTTTGAATCAGCTCATACAAAAGATACGAGAAGACCTTCCAAACCTTGAATCTACTGAAGAAACGGAACAAATTAACAAACATTTTCATAACACACTGGAGCACCTGCGTTTGAGGAGGGAATCACCAGAATCTGAAGGGCCAATTTACGAAGGTCTTGTCCTTTAAAGAAGACACACTTGCACAGACATGCACACACTGTACTTATTTCTGTCTTTCCATTTACACACAGTATGTCTTTTTATTATGATAGATTTAATAGACTGTGCCTTTCAGAAATGCCAAGTTAGGTTACAATTCATTTAAATGTGATGTGTTCAGTTTAGCACTTCCAAACACTTGCGTTCAATATGTTAACAAATTTAAAAGGTGTTCAGATTGGACCAGCAACTATAGATTTGATCATGTTAGCATGACTGGACCTGTTTCTTTAAAATTCATGTGACATGTGAGGGCTCTTTTATTCCATGTTCTGACCTGTCTTTTCTGTCATGTTCACTGTCGCTTCTGTAGCACTATGGAACTCTAACCTGGCAGTGGCTATCCATCTCAAAGTGATCTGATTTTTTTTTTTCTTTAATAGAGCGTTTGATTTTGGGGGCTATTGTTTGTTGGTTTCTGCTTGAGCTTTTCTTTTAGTGCAAGTTAAGTCTAAGTGTAATATTTTCCCTAAAAACTAGAATATATTAATGCATGTTTGGAGAGTTTTAAAACACCATGCTCAGAAACAAAAGTTATATTTTGCATATTAGGGCTCTGTGATATTCAGTGAGGGCCAGTACTGTGCACAGGGCGTATTTATCAAGATAATTTTGTTCCAGATAGTATAAAAAAATAGAGAAATTGTGATCTATATAGTGTATATGTATAACCATTGTAAATTTAGGGAAAAATGCATTACACAAGTTTATTCAGTATCATGATTTTGCACCATTGAAACAATAAAGTTGCTATTAACTCTGGTTTTATGTCTGTCTGCTGTTGTATTTAATGTTTGTTACAGTAAAAGCAAAAGTAAATTTCTTGAATCGCAGGTGGGGTCATAAAAATCTAAGTGCATTTAACTCAAACTAATGGGGAGAGCGTACACTGGTGTTCCAGTGAATGCAGATGGCAGGATTATAAAATGGCTACCTAACATCAGAATTCAGCCAAGAACACTAACATACATTCACTTATCAGCATCTGGCTGAAAGTTGTACATATATTTTTATTTTATACAATGCCTATTGTGACATCTGTCTTACAATAAAATACCCCACTAGAATCTAAAGAAAGTACACAGATAAATAGCTGGGGTGTTTTGGCTGAAGGCTATTAAGGGGTGAGGAAAATAAAAGTAGATGCAGGAGGCTTACAAAATTGGCTACTGGGCCAGCTGCTAAAGTCAGTCTGTATAAGAAACTGGTGATCTCGTTCTGCAAGGGAATTCCACTAAAAGATCTGTCCTCTGCCTGGTCCTAACTCAATTTAAGGACTAATAATCAACCCCAACACCTACCAAAAACTGTTTTATTAGCCTTGTACAAATAGCAGCAGTGGACCCATTTGGGCAGTGAGTATAGAAGTCTGTGTTGACATGCTGATGCTGGTGGGAGAACACCTAGAAATCTCGGGTGATCCAGGCAAATGGTTTGATACTGCAGATTCTGTGCTATGGTGATGAGTACCTTTATTTAAATGTATAATTTCTTAATAGTAAACTCTGGAAAGGATGCCTTACGCTATGCCTCAATATCTGCAAGAGATGCACTGATTACAAGCACCAGTTGTGCCCTCTATGGAAAAGTTTAATGTTGTTGGCATCTTTTGGCCTTCCAAGAACAGTCTGTCTACAAACTATTATGCTAGAAAGGTGTGAACATCGCTTCTATTCTGTAGCTCTAGCGAATCTCTATTCTAAAAAGTTTAGTGAGTCATCTTTATAGTAAGAGTTTGTAGGTGGTGGTGTGGAGCTAAGAAATAAGAACCACCCATTGTTTTACAATACAGACCCCCTATCCTGCTTATAGAAGGAGTCCTAAAGGCCCATCTGCTAGATCTTCATGAAGCATATCCAAGGGAGAGCACAATTAACAGTCTTGGGAGTAGGTCCATTTTACCATATCCGCTTCTGTCTCCAAAGTAACCATGTATGCTGGAGCCAGAGTATAAGTATTAAGTAAGTAGGCTATTTTATGACTTAGACAACTCATTTACAGTAAACTTATTTTTTAATGGAAGTTTTTACAAAGTAACAGATTTCAAAACCAGTGGTTCACAGGCTGCATATAATACAAGATGGGTCATAACAGCTGATTAACACATATGTCTGCTATGGTAATGGACAAATATGAATACTGCTATTCACCAACTGATTTTTTTTTTTTCCAGTTTGTCAATGGGGAAGTAGTTGCAAAACAACACAGAGGAAGCTCATGGGGGAACATTCTCCTGCAAGCTAAGAAACTGCACCTTTCATGAGTTTCACTGCTCAGATCAGTGTGCTTAAAGTGTAGAAGTGATTTTGGCATTCAGTGTGTCCAGCGAGATTTGACTCTCCCCATTGGGGTGGGGAGAGAAAGATGAGAGAACTGAAGAGGTAAAAAGCCAAATCCTGCTTTCACCTCTCAAATTAACGCAGACACACCTGAACACAGCAGAACCACTGCAATATCTTTCTGGTGGGAGCACGCTGTGGATCTGTCTTCTGTGGGTGCTTCCTGCATTTCACTGCACAGATAGGTTTAGGGGAGGGCAAGAGTAGTGGGACTAGTATTTCATAGGCCTGGAAGTGAATCCCCTGCTCTCATGGCAGGACAAAGTATTATCTAGACGAGCTACACAACTACCTCGTTGGTTATGGAGTGGTCATTCTCTCTCCCCTACCTGCCTCAGTGCACAGCATGGCTGTTTTCTAGGGACAGGATTTGCTCCAAATAACATAAGTGCTTGACTGGTAGTGTATCCCTTACAAATATTTGAGAAAAGGGGAGATATTTTCAGTGTCTGTTTTTTTTTTTTTTTTCTCCCTACTGCCATTTCCTAAGCCCCGCCATGGTAGAGACTCTGGGGAGAACAGTCTTTACTGGATGAGATGGGAGTGGACTTGAGTAAAAGACTAGTAAGGATTTATATTGGGCCTAATGTATCAATATTTTCACTTAACACTAGTAACTTTCTGATAGGCTACTGGACACAGTATTTAAAAAAGCAAACCATTTTTATCTGCAAAAGGATTTACGTTTTGAAAGATTCAGACTTGATGTTTGTATTTTTTACTTTGTGTTTTATTTTGGGGGGTTTCCCTGGATTTTCACTGAATGTGTCTGATCTGACTGTATATAATTAGGCTTTGAAAGATTTGAGTGTTTTTAAAAATGAATTTCAACCAATATCTGTTTGTCTACAAATATTTTCATTGACTTAAAATGTTGCAGTAGCAGGAAATCAATTTTAGTCTAATACTAAATTTTATTTGAGACAAAGATTGTGGATAGCGAGATTCATAAAAAACATTTTAGTATCACTTTAAGAACTGTTCATAGATTTTAAAAGATGCCTGTAGGGTAAATATATACTTTTATGCTACCACACATAATTGGAGCACATGTTTATATTTCTTTGCAACTTTGACCCTAATGCCCTTTGACATTATGCTGGACTCTGTACTAGCAGACTGCTAACATGACACTATAGAAAAACTAAAATTAGACTCTTCTTTGCCCACATTTTTCTTCCTTCTATTAATCTCTTCTCTCAATAGCCCAATAATAAGCCACATCAACATTCATATTTAGAGTAGTACTCATTTCCATATATATCCATCCAGGGTTAATAACTGTTAAACCTTCCCCTTACTTACCAAACGCATTTTATTCATTCACGTTTGTTCTGTATTCACTTAGTTTTAACTCTGTTTTATAGATGTACATAGGTATAAAATAGGCTGCTGTTTTTTAGGTATGGCATTATACACAAGAGTACGATGGTGTGCTATTCTGTATAAGAACACGCACAGATATTTGGGCCCCTATCCAAAACTCACTTAAGCCAAGGGAGACTATGATTAGCTTTCGTGAATTTTGAATTCGGTCCTTAGTGCAGCGTTGTTTATAAATAGTGCAATATTGCTTACACATTGATAAATCCACACACAGCTTATGTTTTCTTAAACTTTCTCTGTACATTTTGATTATTTTAATGGAGGAATAAATCAGTGGATGGATAAAAATACTGTAAATCTAATCAGTTTCTTTCTGAAAAATACATCTTTTCAAACTAGACTCTATATTTTAACTTATATTAATTCTTGCAGTATTTTTACTTTCTGTACTCTGTATTTTTGTGGCCTGCAGATGTCATCTACACTTTATCATTGCAAAGTAATTAAAGGGAATTTTATCAGGTTACAGATCATATTTTAAGAAAAAATCCTAACCTGTTAACACCTGAAAGTATTAAAGGTGAAAGACTTTGCAAACTCTTACTTTACTTTTTTCATAGGAATGCTGTTTGCCTTTTTGCATGTCATTCTGCTTTGAATGAAAACAGACTAGCTAGGGCCACTTTCTGGTTGTGATGCATTAGCATTGCACTGTTACAAATAAATCAGAGAGATTTATATTTTTATTGATCTTTAAATTCTCCTAAGCCTACCCTGACTTAAAGTAACTAGTGGTAGTCCTAATTCATGGACCTAAACCAAAGCAGCACCAGTAGGTTCCTTTTAGAAGCAAGTAGTGTTTCTACATAACATGCTTGTTTTTCTTACACATTTTTACATAAAAATGTGGGGATGAATTTTAGCCTTACCAGGACACAGCAGTTTTATAAAAGCTTTTCTGAAGCTCATGTGGCATAGTGGGTATAAAACAGGGTTAATGGCTGAGTTCAGCCACAGAAGCCAAAATGAAGTCTCATAGAGAGAATGATGCACACATTGCCCATGACAAGCTGCTCTAATGATCATCAGAAGTGTATAAGGAGCCCAACACAAACCAAACACACAGACAATAATTGCTAAAGACTTGGCTACTCGTTTGTCCCGGGAAAGTCTAACTCTGTTTGCCATGCTGTTGGCAATGTCTGTTCTTCTTGTGGTGTTGCAAATGTTTTCTATAGCTTTGTAAAAACTGCCCCTGGGTTGTTTAGTCTCAACATCCACCTGTAAAGGTGGTAAATCTTGACCAACATTAAAATCTAGGGACTGGTTATCAAGTTTACATAGGCTGAGCCTTGAACCGCAGGGTCTAGTGGGTGAAAGGCTACTAGCTCTCCTTTTCTTATCTCTCTGTCTGGCAGTAGGTTTTACAAAAAATATTACATGCTCTCTTTTTTTCCCTTGGAAACTTGTTTCACAGTCCTCTTGACCAGGTGCTAGGTTTTCGTTTCTCATGGGAGTGCGCTTCTTGATGTTGATGTAAATGCTTAAGTTAAAGTATGTAACGCTAATGAAAGGTGTAAAGAATTCAATAGTGGAAGCAATCATTAAGAAATACCAATTGTAGAAGAATTCAGCATAGCACTCTCCTTCAGGGAGGATAGTTTTTTGAGCAATATACTCCCAACTGATGATGGCTGGTCCATAGAGAAGAAAAGCTGCAATCCATACAATTATCATCTTTAATACGGCATTTCTAGTCATCCCCTTCTGAGCTCTGTAACTGACCTAAGCAATGAAAAAAGTATCAAATTATGTTCATGCTCCCCAGAACAATTCAATAACCTATAACTACAATGTTAAGGATTCCTGTTTTATTTTTATGTTGTACCTGCTGGGCACACTTAGTGTGTTTAGCAAGAAAAGGTTTCATTTTTGTAACAAACCAAAGCCATTCCTGCAACTTCCTTTCCAACACCCACCATTTAATAAAATAGGCACCCTTCCAGCTGCTTGATTGTCCATGTTCTGTGGACAAAGAATTGCACCTTGCACCATTCCTAAGAGCTGTGGACTGCACAAAACACATGCATTCTCGAGGAAAGGATCATACTTCTAGCCCCAGTCAGAGGTTGCATCTGTTTCATTGTAGTAGCTATGATGTCTGCTTATGGGATATTGTGGGAGTGAATTTTTGTTTCTTAGTTTTTATATTTTCTCCTGTGGGATTAGTTAAGTAACTTAAATTACATTTCCAAGTGATGAGTTGAGTTTACAGAACACCTCTGCAAACGCTTACTAAACTGTAGGAAAGGCTGTAATGCTTAATTTTGGTAGGACAGGCTATGATCACTAAAAATTATTAGGTCCCCACCTGTCTTACTGCCTCAGTCTGTGACTTGTAATAAACAATGGATATTAAAATCAATATTTTGGGAAATCTTACTGTTTCCCAAACAAAATCAGAAAGAAAAGCAATGACATGAAGGATAAAAGGAAAACTACCATGCAAAAAGGTGCAAGCTATTTCTGCAAAATGACTACTCTCACTCCACAATGTGTATTTCAATGAATGCCCAAATATTGAGGGAAGTGGGGGCTATAGCAATGGTCACAGGTGTGTGTGTGTGGGGGGGGGAGAGACAGAAACCTGAATTGAAATCCTATGCTGGTCCTTGACTTGCTATAAAATGAGGGAGATGGAACTTCCCTGCTTCGCATGCTTGTTGTGGCCTTTAATTAGTATTTGTCACGCCTTGCACAGCCAAGTACAACTGCTTGTGAATGTGACTCTACTTCCCTGCCCTTGTTTTAACCTAGCCTCTAGGCAACTACTCTGCATCCCTCTGTGAACTGTTAAAATTCAGTTCCTCCTAACCTGAAGACTCAAACCAAATCAATCTAAGCCTTGCTTTGTTTTGCTAAGGTAGCATTCAGTCCCCGTGAGTTCCCTGGAGCACGGTTGGCAAGCAGTGGTAATAATGCAGACCGTGCTGAACAGCCTCAAAACCCACATTCTCCTTTGCCTTTATTAGCGGGTCCGATCTTATCCCTTTTAACCCAGGCTGAGCGCTGCTGCAGCGAGGGGCGTGGAGCTCCAGGCAGGGCCGGGGTTCAGGTAGAAGGGCTCTGTCCCTTACCGCTTTGGTAACGGAAATGAATCTGTCGAAGCTGATCAGGACGATGTTGAAGACGGAGGCGGTGCACACCAGGTAATCCACCACCAGCCACAGCTTGCACAAGCCCTTGCCGAACTTCCACTCGCCCGTCAGCACGTAGGGGATGTAGAGCGGGATGCAGAAGCCACCTGCGGACAGAGAGCTCAGCACCGCACGACCCCACCTGCCCCCCGGCTCCGCGTCCTCCTGTTTTAACCCGCCCGGCACTTCCAGCGGGGCAGGCCCCGAACGTTTAATGCCAGCTGGCTGGTGGTTGAGCCCCAGCGTACAGCCTGGGCCCCTATCCCCTGGGGAAAGGTGGGGGCTGCACTCGCCCTGCCCCCGGGAATTAACCTGTTCCAGCCCCAGCTGGGCACAGTGCTGCCCCGCTCCCTGGCCGGGCCCGGGGGCGGTCCCCACCCCGGCTGCAGCGCCCAGGGACTGGCTCTCCGCGCGCTCAGCCTGCCCCGGGGTCCCAGCGCGGGGCCGGGCCATGCCCCTGGCTGTCCCAACCAGTTCCGGTGCCCGGCTCCCGCAGGCGCGCCGCTGGGGGCGGAACTCACCCACCAGGAGGTCGGCGAGGGCCAGGTTGAGGAAGAAGAAGTTGCCCTGCGTGCGGAGGCTCCGGTCCACCACGAAGGCCAGGATGACCAGCGCGTTGCCCAGCACGGTGGCCAGCACCAGCAGCCCCATGAGCGCGGCCAGCAGCACCGAGAGGCCGGCGGAGAACTGGCCGGGGTGCTGAAGCAGCTGCCCCGCGCCGGCCGCGCACGCGTTGCCCAGCGCCGCCGGGCGGCTGGAGAGGTTGAGCCAGGGCAGGTCTCCGGGCATGGCTGCTGCGCTGGGCGGAGGGCACGGCAGGGCTCAGGTACGCGCCATCCCTGCCCGTCCCGCGGCCGGGCTGGGGCGCGCCCGGGAAGCCGCTCGCTGGACGCCGCCGGCTCGGAAGGCGAGTCGCGCTCTGGAGCCTCTGCTCGAGCTGCCGGAGCAACTCCAGGGCGGGCGGCGTCCCCCGCCCTGTCCCCCCCAGCGGCCGGCCGGCGGGGAGGCGGGGACTGGCGGGAGGGCGGGGGGACGGAGCTGGGCGCAGAGGCGCGGCCAGCCCAGCCGCGCGGCGGGGAGCGGAGTTCCCGCCCGCAGTGAGTGCGCTCGGCCTGAGGCGGGCTGTTATTTCCTTAGACGGTACAAACCGCTTCATATCTCAGCCCCCGCCTGCGTTTGTTCCACGCCTTAGCGCAGCCAGGGGCCGGCCGCGGCTGATTTTAGCGCACAGGTGCTCAGGACTTCCTAAAAGTCAGGCCCGCTTTAATGGGTCCCGCCTGGGGCACCCGAAACCTGAGGCACTGAAAATCATTGGCTGGAATCTGTCCAGACTGATTCCCTTCCGATTTCTGGCCTCACTGACTTCGAAAGTTGTTCCTGAGTTTACTAGGATCTCATGGGGTCAGTTAGAGCGGGGAAATGGTAGAGAGTTTAATTAGACACATTTTGGTCTCTATTTGTCATTGCCTTTAACTTTGAACCCCAGCCTCGTCTACTCAAAGAAATCTCTAGTCTATCCAGGCAACATATTGAATAGCTGCCCACAAAGTTAGGGAGCCAGTAACCAAAAGTTACTTCAATGAATTGTTCATGTTGCCCAAAAGAAACCTGCAAAATTCTGGTGTCGGTGACTTTTTCTCTTTTTTTAGCTCTTTCACAATGCTCAGGATGGAAGTCTTAGTTTATTTCCTGTTCAATACTATGAAATACCAACACGAAGCAACCTTTTCAAGGGCTTTTGAAAAGCCAGAAACTGTTATACAAGGCTAGTGATTTAAGCAGCCACTGAAAGATATTTGAAGATGACATTGAACTAACACTTTTAGTCATTTTCACACAATCAGCTAGAACAATGTGCCTTGCTGAAGCCCTTCCAATTACCCTGGCAGGGTAAAGAGAAAATGTGAAAAAAAATGATTTATTTATACACAAAAGAGAAAATAGACTAGGCAGAAAGGAAATCAAAAATTCCAGATTTGACACTTTGTGAAGCCAAGAGCAATTATTGTTTGCAAAATGCTTTTCATTTGACAATCAGTTTTATGTTGCACTTTGTTACAAAACACATTGTATTTGACAATGTTTTAGGCTGCACTTTCTGTTTAAGTGCCCGATCCTGCTTCCAATGAAGTGAATGTCACTGAATTCAATGGAAGGAGGATTGGGTCATAATGGATTACTTTAGAGAACCCACAACATCTATTGAAGTCCACTGTGATTGAACGTATCCATATTTGCAATGGGTGAAATCCTACTCCTCTCAACTCATGTGAGTTGTCCCACTGAGCTAAGTTCTGCCCTAAGATACATGCATACAACCCTGCTTTCATTCAGTGAGAGTTACACACTTCTCAAAGGACAGTTTTTGTCCCTTTGACTTCAGTGGGCCCATCTTTGTAATTAAGGCAAGCAGTGTTTGGCCAAAGAAAATTATTGGAGGCACTTATTCCTCGCGCATCACTGCAGAGTGGATAAACAGCTCTCTCTTTTTAAAAATAAAAAATAGAGATTTGCATAAATCTGCAGTTTGCAATAACAATTTTCAAAAGCAATTGCACTGACACTGAAGAACAAGCTGGTCGTATAGATACCTGGGGAAGCAAACAAGAAAAGCTGTTTTAATAAATTGCTTAATCTTTGTATGGGTGCATGCACACATGCACTCAGTAACGCAAACTGGCCCCTTTTCACAGAGAGAATACCCCCAAAGCTAGCTTTTATCAACATTGGGAGTAAAAATTCCATTATAGTTCCTCAGTTGGTGTAAATCAGCATAACTCCACAATGAAGTTATTTCTATTTCCATCAGCTTGAGATCTGGCCCTTCAAGTTTATGCTGATATTGAGACTGAAGTATAATATGTACAAACAAAATACTCTTTTTATATGCTACCGTATCTTTGTCTTCCTAAAGCAAATAAATAAAATCACATAATGAAAAAGGGAGGGAAACAAACAAACAAATAAAAGTCCTTAGAAGGTTTAAAAGGATGTTAAAAAACTGGAGAGAGTGCACAAAAGAGCCACAAAAATGATTCAAGGGCTGGAAAAAATGCCTTACAATGAACTATTTAAAAGAGCTCAATCTGTTCAGTTTATCAAAAATAAGACCCGGAGATAGTTTGATTATGGTGTATGAGTATCTTCATGGGAGACTATACCAGGTACCAATGGGATCTTTAATTTAGCATGGAAGGCATAACAAGAACCCAGGGCTGGAAGCTGAAGACAGACAAATTCACTTTAGAAATAAGGCACACATTTTTAATAGTGAGGGTTATTGACCATTGGGACAAACTACCAAGGGAATGGTGGTTTCTCCATCACTTTGCTTTCAAATCAAGACTGAATGACTTTCTTGAAGGTATGCTTTAGCCAAACACAAGTTTATACTTTAGTTAAATACAAATTATTGGGTTCAATACAGGGGTAATGGGTTGACATATGGGTTGACAATGGCCTGTGATATACATGAGATTAGACAAGATGATGTAATGGTTCCATCTGACCTTAAATTCTATGTCTGTGAATAAGGTAAAAACAACAAGGAGTCCGGTGGCACCTTAAAGACTAACAGATTTATTTGGGCATAAGCTTTCATGGGTAAAAACTGAAAAAGTGGGGTTTTTTACCCACGAAAGCTTATGCCCAAATAAATCTGTTAGTCTTTAAGGTGCCACCGGACTCCTTGTTGTTTTTGTGGATACAGACTAACACGGCTACCCCCTGATACTATGAATAAGGTAGTTTTAATAGTGATTATTACCTGATGTTGGGTCTGCCTGGCTCCTGTTTTCATTAAGACCAATGGGAATTTTCCATTGACTTCAATATGCATGGGATCAAGCCCATTGCTAATTTCTGCTGATTATGCTATTGACCATAAAATACATGGAGACAGCACAAAGATATAAAGAGAAAACAAGACTCAGTCATAAGGAAAAGAGAAAGATTTTTTTGGTGTTCTTTCATAAATAATTGCTATATTCTTCAACTCATCATACATACCTTGATTTTCACATAATACAGATAGATCAGTGCACATTTCAAGTAGGTTCTGTAGTGTACAACCTGCAGACAGATTTTTGAGATTCTCACTGGTTCCTACTGGTTAATCACCTCTTGATTCTCCTTTAGTACTAACAGTTTAAAAAGACATGATGTCCACAACTATTAAAGATTTTTCCCAGAAAAGTGAAGTATCACTCCATATTTTTTGTTCGGTGTAGAGCTTTTTTAAGACCCCGATAATGCTCCCTGAAGCCTTCAAGCTCTGCTAAGAACAAACACATGCTAGAGGGCAGCATGCTCAGAATGGCAGATTTTGCTAATACAGATTTCAAACACTTCCTCATTTTCCTGTAAATGGAAAGGTTGTCTGTCAGGTGTAGTGAGTTATTATACTGTCACTTTCCCTGTTACAGATGCATGCTGATTTTTTCTTAATAATAATCAATTGTTGAGAAAACAGCTTTGTTTTATTCTGGAACATATGCTGCCAGTCCTGTGGGGAGAGCCTTCCAACTGGGATGTGCTAAGAGGCATGGCAAAAAGAGGAGAAAGAGAGAGGAAGTACAGAATCTTTCTAAATTGTTTGCGAGAGGACTGGATTGTGGATTCCTGAGACTAAGACCCAGGAATAAATTCTGTCTAATCCCTGAAGCAAAAGTTCTAGTTTATTAGAGCTGGTTGAAAAATAATAACTTTATTTTAAAAAAAATAAATTTAAAAAAATTCAAGGCATTTTCATTCTTCTGGGTCATGAATTTTTCAAAATTTTCCATGAAATTTTTTGATTGTTTTCTTTTTTGAAAATCACAAAGACTATTTTTTGCCCACTCCCCTGGTTGCTTTTGAGGCACAGAGCTGCCTGAATCATGCTCTTTCCTGATGACTCTAGTGTATTTGGGTATGTGGGTGAATGTCACTATAGTAACTACAGTACAGAATGTGTTTTCCCACTACAGTCAGCTGACACTTTCCACAGAATGGGCTAAATTCAACCCTCAGTTACACCTGTTACCCTCAAATGGGTAACTGACAGATGGCAGAATCTTGCTGTGTGTTCTGTTGGTCCAATAAATGCAGATCTCACTTGAGATGAATAACACAAAAATGATATCTAAGAAGCCTCATGTGCATCAATAGTATAGGTATGGACAATTTAAAACATGTTTTAAGCACAATTCTTTCAGGCAGCATACAATAGAATATAGCCTTCTGACTAATGCAGTACAATATAACATACAACTATAATTAACAGTTCACAATAAACTCAAGTCCAGATTTTCAAAAGTGCTCAGGACCCAGATGCTGCCATTGTTCCTACAGTTCTCAATTAGAGCTTTTGGGTGCTGAACTCTTTTTGAAAACCAGGCCATCTCAATATAATGAACACATATAAAATAGAGTCCACCATTGGAAATGAGCAAAATAAACAATAAAAGAGAAAGTCCAGGGGAACAGATGCATCCAGCAATTTGCTGTGAAATTGATTTATTTCATTTTCAAATGAACACCAAAGACACCTATGCAAAGCTCTAGGTACTGTGACAGACCCAGACCAGTGAGGTACAGGAGTCTGGTAGAGGACAAATATACTGGTCACTGGATGAGTAGTTTTCTGTTCCCTGAGTGACCAGAGCAGGGGCTGTACTAGAGTAATCAGGAACCTGCTAGAACCAGTTAAGGCAGGCAGGCTAATTAGGACACCTGGAGCCAATTAAGAAGAAGCTGCTAGAATCAATTAAGGCAGGCTAATTGGTGCACCTGGGTTTTAAAAAGGAGCT